AGTGGAAATTTTTGATCGTGATACACAATCTCACGTAACGGTTATAGTAAATTACAACCTGTACGAATTAGTATGACACCTGATGGCCTATTTGCCCTCGAACAAAAAGCCAGGAAATTCGTGAAGATTATCTGTGTCAGCTCCTTCCTCCGTTGTATTATTAATTATAGAATAATGCGTTTCTTTAGAGTCGTATTAGCATTTAGAAAATAAATAGTAGTTTATGCATCTGTCATATAAGAAGGGGTATTATAACCAGAGGTCGGAATTAGGTAGAGTTATTTATGTACTTGCATCGAAATGTTGATATTAATGTGGACCTTCCCGGGATTTCTTTATTTCTTTCTTTCATTGATGTAAGTTTGGCAACGTCGTGCGTGCAGTCGTTTAAATTGTGTAAAAGTAAATAACTTTTTATTTAAAAAATCACGGGATTTTTTCTGCTCTTTAAAATTAATCTCGAGATTTGAGGCATATCCACTTTATTCTTTCGCTGTATGAAATCAGTGTAAGTACATGAATAACTCTACCTAATTCCGACCACTGGTTATAACACGAGAGTCTGTTTATATGATAATAGATTGACTCGAGTGTTTTAATACCTAAGTTATATGCAGTATCATACACTACTTTATCTTCACTCATAGGAAAAATGGAAAATAAAACAAAGTAGGTAGGTTACATGGAAGTAATTTATGCGCGCGCCATTTATTTCACAGTTCAAACTGCGCATGCGTGCGTCATTTTTTTCATATTCAGCCTAAAACCATAGACTACTTTATAATGAGTTTTATGATATAGTTAGCGGTACTATAATGAGTTTTATTTTTAATTTTATGTATATGCGTTTATAAAGTGCGTATTTATAGCATTGTCTTTGAATTCGTAATTCGAATTTTTCGATTTCAGTGTAGATAAACATTTTTTTTTCGGAGTTATAAAAAACCGGTTTTCAGTTATTTTCTTTTTTGTTTTTTTTTTTTCAGGTGTCATGTTAATCCGTCCGAGTGTTACCTCTACTCTGTTGACGACCCCCTTCTCGTAAGAGTTTCTGTAGTGCCCCTGGAGTAGCTGTAGACTTGTGGCTCTGAAGTCATCAACTAGTGGTGAAAGCAATACAGATTGCATTACAAATATATTTATATATATATATATATTTATTAAACATATGAAACAACTTGATCTTATGCTAATATTAAAAGAGAAGGATTGGAGGGTACATTAATGATGATATATTTATATTGCCTATGTTTGCGCAATATGGAAGTATTTAAAAAAACAACGAAAGCACTAAAAAAGCACCTCCACTAGATGGCGACTCTAGCAAAAGTTGATTTTTGCAGGAAACGAATGGACCAAAGACAGTCATTTCCGTTCCTTTTAACTAACATATTAAAAAACTGCAATTTGCAAAGTTCGAAACTTAGATATCAATACAAATACGAAAAAGTACAAATAGAATACGAGTTGTTTATTCAGTTTTGAAAACTAATATACTTTTATACATGAAAGAAAACCGGTAGGGTTGTCATGGAGAAATCAAGAACGTACCGTAGCGACATCTAGTTTGGTTTCGGGAACTAATGTTTTTTTTTAAATACTTCTTCATAGTGTAATTTTTGACTTCAAATTTATTTATTTACTTTTTGTTTAGAAGGTACACACGGACTACCTTACTATATTATGTTTTCTCCTTTCATGTGCCTGCTGGTAGTAATTTCAATTTGTAATAAGCAGTGACCTTATATACGTCTTTTATAAATGTCTATTTAAATTACATGTGTGTACAAAATTACAACTTTCTAAACATTATCCATCGTTATCTACGGTGGCGTAGAAGATAATCAGCGCGGCCCGCGATCGTGATTGCTAAGCAACCTTCGCATTGGTCAGCCGCGGGATGGGTGACCGACCTACTTCCTGCAGCGAGCGGAAGCGCATGTCGCACGCGGAGCCGACGCCGTGGCACAGCAGCAGCAGGTGGTCGATGCTGGACGGCTCCGCGTCCTCCACCTCGCACTCGTCGCAGCCGCGCCGCACCACGCGGGGGCGAGAACTGGACTCCTGGCGTGTTAACGGAATGAATAGATACAAGGCGTGAACATGTAAATACAGATAGGAACAAGTATAAGACAGCATTACACCCGAATAGGGATGATGACTGGGTGAAAAAAATGCAATTCTATTTAGTCCGTCAGTCAGATAATAGAAAAATATTAGATACGTATTTTTTTTACTTCAATTTAACAAGAAATAGCTTAGATAACGGACATTAAAGTTGAGGAGTGGGGGCTCGCTACGTCACAGTTGAGTAGAAAACGTACTCTAACGTGACGTCATGCGAAATTTCAACTCAATGTAACGCCGTAATTTTATGATTACGAAAAAAATAAAATAAATACGTGTTTAATATAATAAAATAAATGCGTATTTAACACTCTACCTGATGGACAAACAAACAAAAATTAGTCATCATCCCTTTTATATATGTCGCATCATCTTTACGAAGATCACTTGATTTAGTTTACTTAATTACTCGATTGTAGAGAGAGCGTGATCATCGATACTTTTAATTTTATTAGAATGGTGACACTGACTTTGACAGTTCGTTAACAAAACCAAATTGCCGCCATTTTAGCACACATTCTGTTTCCGATCGCCGAGGAGTAAAGACATCCGACGACATCACGCTCATCTCGTTATATTTTCGTGTGAAAAGTGATAAAATGGAACAAATCCACGTTGGTATACACGCCTGCAGTGTTATTTTATAGATAGTCCTCCGATATGGACGATCTATTTGCGCTTCGTAATTGCCCATTCGGACTACCCGAATTATATATTATCATCTATATATAAAAATGAATCCCTATTTCAATTGGTCAAATCCTCGTCCGATCTGGCCGATCGTTCCCCTTCAGGGAGTCAGCTGTATTGCAATCCGATGAGCCGAGCCCCCCGGGGCTAACGGCTAACATCTCGATGTCACAACTCATGTAGCTGAATAGTGATGTCTGCGGCCCCCCCCCCCCCCGGTGCCCCCCCCCCCCCTTAAGGGGCAACGAACTGTCCAAGGAGGCACTTACGATCGGTTTCAATAACTTACTATATCCGTAACTGGAGATTTGACAGTATATCTGTCACTGTCTTTTACATTGTAAACAACAAAGACAGGTATACTTTAAATCTCCAGTTACGGATATAGTAAGTTATTGAAACCGGCAGTTAGTCAGTAGGAGTCTGACATAACCCTTTGGGAGGGTGATTCCGAATCCCTAAGGTTGAGAGCCGAAAAAAAAATCAATTGGTCATGCACTCATACGTGAACAGCTGTTTTCGTTGTGTATTGTCAGAAGGTTCTTATGATATAAAGAACTAAGAAAATTATGTAGAAATTTGTAAATTTAAGAATATTTAATCATCACATAAAATTATTTCTAACCTAACCTTATTGCTTTAGATAATATAAACTTTTTACCCGACTGCGCGACACAAAGGAGGGTAATGTGGACTTAGGGAATCACTGCTTTAGACTAATGAAAAATTTAATGGACATTTGAGCAACTGCCTGTTACAAATACCTGTATTTTCAGTTGTAGGACACAAGCCTATTTACGCGGGCAAAGTCGCGGTAAAACAGCTAATTGAGACAAAACATAAATGACTAACGAACTTCTCCTTGTCCTTCTGATTGCGGTATTCTCCAGCACCGTGTACCATCAGTATGAGGTGGTCTATTCTCATCGGCTGATCACCAGCCACTCTGATCTTGAGGGGATTCCGGTACACACGTTTACCGAAGGTCAATAGCTAGAGGATAGAGGACGCAGGTAAGGATATATACGACGGGGTGAAGATGATATTGGGACAGGGTGAGGATGATATTGGGACGGGGTTATGATAATTATACTAGGACAGAGTAAATAGCAATCTATTAATGTCCCTATTGCTGGCGTATGGTCCATTGTCCCTATTCGATTTTCAAACAAATCGAATTGGGAGATTGGACCATGATGGTGATGATTGGTGGGTGTTAACGCTTACGCAAGCAGAGACCAACGGCTTGACTTGCCTTCCGAAGCAAGGATGGAATAATAATGTTATTAGGATGGCATATCAATCATATTAGGATGGAATAATGTTTTTAGGATGGCATATCAATCATATTAGGATGGAATAATAATGTTATTAGGATGGCATATCAATCATATTAGGATGGAATAATAATATTTTTAGGATGGCATATCAATCATATTAGGATGGAATAATAAAATTATTAGGATGGCATATCAATCATATTAGGATGGAATAATAATGTTATTAGGATGGCATATCAATCATATTAGGATGGAATAATAATGTTATTAGGATGGCATATCAATCATATTAGGATGGAATAATAATGTTATTAGGATGGCATATCAATCATATTAGGATGGAATAATAATGTTATTAGGATGGCATATCAATCATATTAGGATGGAATAATAATGTTTTTAGGATGGCATATCAATCATATTAGGATGGAATAATAATGTTATTAGGATGGCATATCAATCATATTAGGATGGAATAAAATGTTTTTAGAATGGCATATCAATCATATTAGGATGGAATAATAATGTTATTAGGATGGCATATCAATCATATTAGGATGGAATAATAATGTTATTAGGATGGCATATCAATCATATTAGGATGGAATGATAATGTTTTTAGGATGGCATATCAATCATATTAGGATGGAATAATAAAATTATTAGGATGGCATATCAATCATATTAGGATGGAATAATACTGTTATTAGGATGGCATATCAATCATATTAGGATGGAATAATAATGTTATTAGGATGGCATATTAATCATATTAGGATGGAATAATAATGTTATAAGGACGGAGTAATGACGACATTAGGACGAAGCGACAATTAAATAAGGAAATTCACTAATTTAAATTAAAACTTGAATTTCGTATGTCTAGTTGATGCATGGAATTCTTTATGAGTTGTTTTCTATCTAGACACACGACGAGGGGGTAACACATGAGAGACTGACCGGCGCGGGCGGGTCCTGGTGCGCGAGGTGCACCATCACGGCGGGGCCGTGCATCACCACCAGCGAGTTGCTGGGCAGCACCAGGCGCCGGTGCCACTGGCCACTCGTTATACCGCGGCGGTATTCCTCCTTAAATTCATGTAGAGAACATACTTATGAGTAAAGGCTATTATAAAGTTGATGATTATTTTAAGGATCGCAATGCATGGAATTAATAGCCTTCGCTTTGTTCTATAACGACTAATTATATGTACAACCTATGTCCTACAGACTTTGAAAGTTGTATTTATTATTGTGATAATACATATGATTTTGGTAATGACATGATTTATGTAAATGTCATTACTTATGATAAAGAGCTGGTAAGTTTCTTTCGCTTGTTCTTCTTGTCAGCTAAAAGACGTCCTGAACGAGTGGTAGGGGATTTTTTTTTGACGTTTCAAATGTGCTTTTAACAAGCCTACTTGAATAAAGACATTTTCATTTCATATCATTATAATAATAATCATAATAAGCCCTCTTTATTTCCTTGACATGATAGAAAATGAAACATTTGTTATATACAATCTATTACGCATTCATAACTCTATACTTAGAAATATTCTTAATGAGAAATGCTTTGAAATAAACCACTCCAGCCCCTGACACTCTGAGGTGCTCTAACCACTGAGCTACCCAGGACCTGACAGGACTGACGAATTTTTCAAGCACTTGTTACTTTTCGCTATTATACCTGAGAAATATTTTATTTCGTCTATATTCGAAATACTAATAAGACTCTAAATGAAACGTATTTTTCGATAATTTATAATGCAACGGAGGTGACTCCGCCTCTGATGCACAGATAATCTTCACGAATGTGATTTTGACAAAATTATAAGGGCGATATTTTTAATGAAAAATACTGAAAAAATCTACCAGCCCCATTAATCTGAGATGGGACTCGAACCCGTGACCTTTCGCAATCCGGGCGACTGCCCTAACCGCTGAGCTACCCAGGACCTAACAGGACTGACGAATCTTTCAAACACTTGTTACTTTTCCCTACTACAGAGCATATTCTCATCAATGTTCAGGCATCCAACCAAACAGCCAAAGTGAATATTCTTCCAAATATTTTAAAATTTAGATTGCTGCACAATGCTATACTGGAAAATATAATCAAATATTATCCTGAGAACGATTCGAAAATTTTTCAAATTCGTACGAGTGTTACCTCCAATTTCTCTGCGATCGCTTCTATCACTTTATAAAATGTCTAGCAACTGGCTAAAGTCAGCAGTTGGCACTACTGATTGTATTATCTACCTGAAGCCCAATATTGCCTTGTCGTTTTTTTGCTTATGAAACCAGTACTCATGTTTATTGAAATGTGACGTCACAGCTCGAAATGATTGTTTACGCGGGACTATATAAATTACCTCCAATTTCTCTGCGATCGCTTCAGTGTACGGAACGTATCTTGCGTCAGTAGTGCCCTTGTAAAACCAACTGCATCTGAAATGAAACATTTTAGAATGAGGAAGTATTTTAAGAAAACAAAAGAAAGCAATAAAAAGGCACCTCCACTAGATGGCATATGGATATGATGGATGATGGTATAGTCATTTCCGTTCCTTTTAACTAACATATTAAAAAACTGAAAAGAATTATATCATATCATCAGCCCTTTTACGTCCCCACTGCAGGGGCTCAGGCCTTCCTTATGGATGGTTAAGGAGGAGGATGGGCCATGACCCTCCACGCTGGCCCAATGCGGATTGGAGGGTATTAACGACTGCAAATGCAGCCGGGACCAACGGCTTAACGTGCCTTTCGAAGCACGGACTAGCTCGAGATAATAATATTTTGGTCACCCATCCCGTGACCGACCATTGCAAAAGTTGCTTAACGACAAAGACCGCGGGCCGCGGTGCTTATCCACTACGCCATCGGAACTGAAAAAGGGTTGTCATGGAGAAACCGAGAAAGTCCGTAGCGACATCTTGTTTATTCTTAAATAATTTGTCATTATACCCTCCCCCTACCCCCAATGCAAATCAAAGCGGTAAAAGACTTGAATCACTACCTCGATCCATCCTAATTATTACAATTATCCAATTCTAAAATATATCGCCGTTTAATTTGTAAAACATTCACGAACCTCACGCTACAACTATTTGACGTGTAATAGCGATTGCGATCGCGAATGACATCGTAAATTTGACCTTCATTGTAATAAGGAAGTATTTAAAAAAATATTAGTTCCCGAAATCAAACTAGATGTCGCTACGGTACGTTCTTGATTTCTCCATGACAACCCTTCCGGTTTTCTTCCATGTTTAAAAGTAAATTAGTTTTCAAAACTCGATAAACAACTCGTATTCTATTTGTACTTTATCGTATTTGTATCGATATCTAAGTTTCGAACTTTTCAAATTTCAGTTTTTTAATATGTTAGTTAAAAGGAACAGAAATGACTGTCTTTGGTCCATTCGGTTAAAATTTTCAATTTTGCGTGACGTAATTTATGGACGGCCCCTAACGGAATCGGCGGCCTTATTGCTAACAAGTAATTTCTTCCAGGCAACTGCAGGTTAGACTAGACTATTACTTAAGTCGATGGGCAGTTGACGGTGTCTTACATGGCCAGAAGAAAAAACATGTTTTCCTATATAAATATACCTGGGCCAAAATACTTTTTTATGCCTAAAAACCTGTCCCTTTCAACTAATGTTGAATTTTACGGTAAAACACTACAAAAGTGTAAAATAAGTATGCTAATTTCAAAATATTACATTATTGTTTAATACAGAACACAAGATTTGACCAGTAATAATACATCATTATAACAAAAAATATAGTAACAATGTTGTCATTCTTAGTAACGCATTTGTTCTTCATACAAAATACAGTTGTCCTTGAGCACATGTCTCAAGCTTCTCTGGATTTTTTCCACAATATTTCCTAGGTGGCGATTCATAATGAATTCCGCTTTAAAAATTTAAGCCCTAAACCTTATTTATAATGCCAATAAATATTTTTTACATCAAAAAATTATTGGAGTAAAAAATTATTTTGACTGTGTCCCTAACAAATACTAAAATCGTAACTACCTTGCGTTGCTATATGAAAATAAACCTTTAAGTGAGTGTATTACCCTTTTTTGCACCTTATTCGGCTTTACATATTGTAACTCGTATAACGAACGATGGCAACCGCGGGGGAAGAGGACGCTCGTCAGATCAGTCGCGTCGGAGTCGTCGGGAGAGGTGCGTGTATTTATTGCGTGGCCGCTGAGTTACCACTGTCGAAAGGTACGTATTGACAATATTTACATAATATTTGTTTTATATGTAGTTTGTCATGTATTGGATCTGTCAGTGTTAGAATATTTGCACTTTGTTATTTCATTTAGTGATTATATACAACATAGTCAAATATTTACAACTGCGATACTGCTACACTGCGTTACTTGAAAATGTAACGCAGTTGTTGCATTGGTAACGCAGTTGTGAATATTTGACTATGTTGTAAATAATCACTAAATGAAATACCAAAGTGCAGATATTCTAACACTGACAGTACAAAGACATGACTAACTACATATAAAAATAAATAATATATTTGTCAATGTTGGTGATACGTTATTTAAGCCTTAATTTTCATATATTGTTCTTTTTTTATCTTAGAGAAAAGATTCTGCGCTAAATGGCGTTAACAAATGCAGAAAAACAACGTCGCTATAGGCTTAAATTAAAACTAGACCCGGTGAGAAATGCTGAAGCTAAGAAAAACACCAAGAAAGGTACCATGCAAATAAAAAACTTGTCAAAGATATGACAGAGCGAGAACATAGGAGTGCTAAGCGTAAATGGAAAACTGCAAATAAGAAACGTCGAGAACGACAAAAAACTGCTCAACAAATTATGGACATTACACCGACGTCGAGCCCGCGGTCAGGAACTCCAGTTTTACCGAGGTCTAGAGGCCGAAAACAAATACGAAGAGATAGATCTGCAGTGTACAGAAATAATTTGAAATTGCAGGAAGAAATAGAAAAGTTGAAAAGAATGTGTAGTAAATATAAAAAGAGATACCAAAGAGCTAAAACGTCAATCAAACACACGGAACAAGTAAATAAGCTTAACCAAAATAAGTATTCAACATTATCCAATGCCATCAAAGACCATTACAGAAGTTTGAAGTCAATCAAAGAGAAACAATCATTAAAACAAATTTTCAAGGAGAAGGCTATCTAACTCTAAAATAAAAATTGCTATTGTACGCGAGACGTTGGGAATTGATCTGATGAAAGTGATGAAACGACAGCAGAATACCTCAAAGAAAAATCTGGTTAACAGCATTAAAAGCTTTTTTGTTCGTGACGATGTTTCTAGAGCTACGGCTGGAAAACGGGAAACTGTCACTTGTAATAAAATTAAAATACAGAAGCGATATTTACTAGATCACAATGAAAAACCTATTTCATTCTTTTAAAAAAGAAAATCCAGAATTGAGATGTTCTTATTCGTATTTCATTAAAAACAGGCCATTTTATATAAAGCCACCTTCAGTTTCTGGAAGAGAGATTTGCCTATGCAAGATACATACTAATGCGCAGTATATTTTAGATGCTCTCTACAAAACCAGGGTTATCGCTCACCAAAACACTGAAGGAGTTAAGCAAGGTCCGTTTGTATTTAGTGACGGACAGTGACATACAAAACATTGAAAAAGCTCTACCTAAAAACCTTGTACCACTTCAAGGTACGATGCTAGTACATCAAGTTTTTACTGACACTCCCGGTGAACTTCAATATAGAGATCTCAGTTGCTTTTGCCAAAGAGGTTTTTGCTCATGCATGAGCCCAAAAACTTATCACCCTGTTCCTGCTCCCATTATTGACACACTTACAGAAGGTATTCTCTTGGATGGATTGGATGAGGAAATAGTTCTCGATGATATTTTATATATAATTACCGTACCTAGAAGAACATTTTACAATACGGTTTATTCCACACCTTCCAGCTCTGATGACGAGTTCTTAGCCAGCTATAGCCAACCATCAGTTTCTAATATAAAAGAAAGGCAATTAATTGAAAAGGAAAATATTCATCCTACAAAGATATCAGACGGTGTCCATGTCTTAGTAAAAGTGTCTTCTGTTAAAGACAAACATTACACTTATCTAGGTGTTGCTAAAAGTGAAGTTGATGAAGAAGGAAGACGTCAAAATTATGTTTTACAAGACAGTAGATAAAACTGGTAAAAGGTTCAAAGCAGTAGATACTGATATTTCTTACGAACCTTACGATAACATCTTAGAAATTGTTCCTAATCCTAAAATTGTCGTAAAAGGTAAAAGGATATACTTTGATTATGATAAGCCATTAAACGTCTTTGAAAAGTAGGACTGATTTGAAAGTGTTCCATTAGTTATTAAGGTTGATTTTGTGATTTTTATTTTTTGAGTTTTTAAATTTATTTCATTGAAGATACTTTATTTTATATCGAGTCATAGGAAGTTATATTTTGTTATGTTTTTATCGTTATACTAGATCTCTATAGAAAGTACAAATATTGTATGTACAAGAATTGTATGTAAGAAAATACTACCGTGTTACTGGGCTTACTACTGCGTTACTTTTGTGTCCCTCAGATTTTTTATAGTATTTTCAATATATCTATGATTCTTATTATTTAACGTGCTTTAATTTCATACGTACGTATTACTCATCAAAATTGAAAGATTATGTTGTTAGTTGGTATTAATTTTAAGTTTTTATTTGTGATAAATAGTAAAAGTTTATGTTATAAAATTAAATTTTGGTAACGCAGCAATCCAAAGTAATAAGGATACTCTATGAAACTGATAACTTCTGTGATTTAATTTTATAAGAAGTTAATTATAAGCGTTACAGTTTAAAACTGACACGTTGTGATTCTCTTTGTACAAGATTAATAAAAATTAAAAATAAATTCAAAATGTAACGCAGTTGTTTAATTTTCCGACACCTTCATATATTGTTGACCATAACTATAATTAACTCATTTAAACTAACGCTGCAGAGGTAGGTACATTATAAACCGAACTATAACGTATCTATATCTGCATATAAAAATAAGAATATTAATATTTTTATAAAAAAAAGAAATTTAAAATCGTATGTTTAGATTAGGCATTAAAAAGTATTTTAGCCCACCTACATACATACATAATGGATTTTTTCTTGAAACAACCTGAACTACGAATGACTTAACTTTAGTATGTCGCTTCATATAGCTAGGTGGCGCCTAGTCATAAGTGAAGTGCGTTTTTACCATAAGCGATTCCTAAACACGACAGGCGACAAATTTAGGCGACTCCTACGTTTAGTGGAGAACGGGCGTCAAAGATGTCATTGACGTTTATATAATGCCATCCTCACCTCCTGACGTTCGTCGGCTTCTCCGCCCAGTAGACGGCGGTCCTCAATCTACCGACGATGTTGACATCGAACCTGCCGCCGTCCGTCGCCACCACAGTGCGCTCGTCTAGATCGGCTGTTGGACAATTTATTAACATCATCAGCCCTGTTACGTCCCCACTGCAGGAGCTCAGGCCTTCCTTGTTGACGGTAAAGGAGAATGGGTCAATACAGCCGGGACCCACAGCTCAACGTGCCATCCGCGTTGCACAGGGTGCCTCGGCTTAATAACATATCGGTCACCCATCCCGTGACAGACCGTCGCGAAAGTTGCTTAACAACAACGATCGCGGGTCGCGGCAACAATTTATTATATCTTAATACTATTTGTACGAATAGGACGTTATAACTGCAATTTTCTGTCGTCAGAAAAATCACTCACGGCTCACGAAAGCATCCTCCAATGCACCGCTGTCGGTGGCCGAGAATCCGCGCCATATCGATTTACCCTCGACATCGACCCTGTAGAACCAGTGATGCTTCACCGGGATATACTCGGATGTGGTGCGACTCTGGAACGTGTCATATTTCGTGTGAATTAAGTCAAAGGCTCATTTTCATTAGTCTCCGTAAGTGGTTGGCAGCCAGCAAAACATTTATGCTAATATTTAAGTAACAATTGTACTCAGTGGCGCCAGCTTAGCAACTTTATAGCTAGATCTAGCTATTATATGGTGTTAGAGAGCTACAATAGGGATGATGACTAATTTTTGTTTGTTTGTCCGTCAGGTAGAGTGTTAAAAAATATTAAACACGTATTTTTTAATTTTTTGGTAATCATAAAATTACAGCGTTACATTGAGTTGAAATTTCGCATGACGTCACGTTATGGTACGTTTTCTACTCAACTGTGACGTAGCGAGCCCCCACTCCTCAACTTTAATGCCTGTTATCTAAGCTATTTCTTGTTAAATTGAAGTAAAAATAAATACGTATCTTATATTTTTCTATTCTCTGATTGACGGACTAAATAGAATTGCATTTTTTTACCCAGTCATCATCCCTATTTCATAAAACATGTAGCTACATTTTTTAAGCTTGTTTTTCATAGAAAGAGACTGGATCCCAACCATCGACAGCTTCATCGTTAGTTCATTTATGGCAGAATTTCCGTGTGAAATTGAAATAGCAAAAAATGGTTTATTTTAACACAAGACATTTTTAGTTCTCTTCTCATAAAAATAAAAACAAGAGTCAGAACTTGTTATTTATTATAACCTAACTACTTTAACAGATTTTTATACAATTTTTTTGTAAAAAGAAACTGGCATTGCACTTTATAAAATGTCTAGCAACTGGCTGAAGTCAGCACTTGGCACTACTGATTGTAATATCTGAAGTCCAATATTGCCTTGTCGTTTTTTTGCGTATAGTACCAGTACTCATGTTTATTGAAATGTGACGTCACAGCTCGAAATGATTGTTCTCGCGCGACTATTTAAATTAATAAATAAAAATACAAAACACTTTTTCGATTAAATAACTGATTGTAATTTAATATGACCGAATAAAACATTTAAAATACTTTCCAAAAAAACAAAAAAGTAGTTAAATTAAAAGAAAATAGTAAATAGTCTCAATAACTACCTCAGTCGCGGTGGACACCCCTGCGCTCTCCTCGTGTGAATCAAACGTGACAGCCACTTCCCTCCCTCTGTCATCCTTACTATTATCCATATCCGCTTTTTTATCCATCCCGCTATCCTTACTACCATCAGTATTATCCATAAACGTTCTAACTTTAAAATCCGTGTCGAGCGCTACCTTATTTAAAGTGAAAACTTTTTTAAAATAATCATTGTTACAACACAATTTACATTTGCTCACAACCGTCATAATTTTTTTATCGTCACTCATATTGCTTTCCTCATATTCTGAGTCGCGTTTACCATTAACTACATTGTCTTTATCTAATTTCTTTAAATCAGGTTCACTTATATTTAAACCTGATTTAACTTCTTTATCGTTATCATATTCTATTGTGAAATAATTAACTGTCCTAACTATTTGGTCCGCAGCATTGACAGACAAGTTGCTACTTGATGTCAAATCTCGGATAAGGTTATTTAAGTAACCGTCATTTGGAATGTCATGAAGCTTGTCGTCGTGTGTACTGGTGTCATAATTAGCATGTCTGTAATGGTTTTGACTTTGGCTCAACTCAAAAAAAGATTTCCCGTGGTCTGTTTTGGGTGGAGATGTGAAGTAACTAGCTAATCTATTGAAATTATTGTCGGTAGCAACATTTGGTGTTTCGTCTTTGGATGAGAAGAATGTTAAAGGATCTGCTAAGTTTTTCATTTTATCTGATTCCTTATTATCCTGAAGCTTAGGTTCAGACAACATTTTTGGTTGTTTTTCAATTTTAGTGAACAATTGTGAGGCCAAATTATCTGCAGACTCTGGTTTTGGTTCAGAAACACTGGAGAAAACCAACGGTTTGGTGTTTTCTAATATATCATCTTTTAAGGTCGTGATTTCTGGAATAGTTGGATTTAGATTCACCATATCATGGTGTGGTATCTCCTGGGTTCTTGTAACTAACTGTATTGTGGATGTCACTGTTATATCTAGTTGCTTATTTGATATCATACTGTATGTAGTGGTGATAACAGGTTTAGTTTGGGTAGAAGTTTCAGGAATATAAAGAATATTTTCATCTTTGTCACTCTTTTTATCTTGACTACGGGAAGATAAAACGCTCATCCTTCTTTTATATTCTTCTTCAAACCCAGGCGGAATACGCATCGGAGCATTAGGAGAACCAACGTTGAAAATAGAAGATGGAGATGAAATCGAATTACGATAGTGTGTCTCTGCGGCATAATTTCCCGTATCAAAATAAGATGCGATGGTTATAGCTGGGCTTGTAGCCACGTTCATATCAAAAAGTGTGTTTTTCTGCACGTTACAAACATTGTCAGCTTTATCCACAGTCTCCTCCATCTTCTTGAATCTCTCTACTCTGTTAGTGAAGGTGTCTACGTCCTGAATGGGGTCTTCCGAACTCCTTTCTCTTTCTCTATACTCGATTTTATCATCATCAGTTTCAGATGGTTCAATAACGAATTCTTCGTATATAGGAAAGTCCATTTTAGCGTCTTGTTCGATTGAGTGTACATCTATTCCTCCGGTCTCATCAGATTTTGTATCATCATCTTCAGCAGGCGGTGCCGTTGGTATATTCGGTACGAATACAGGGCTTTCTTCGTGTGTGTTTTTGAATTCAGCTTTTATTTCATCACTTGCATTATTAGGCATATCTTCAAAGAAAAGGGAATTATTACTAAAGAAACCAATAGCGTTTGGGTCTATTTTGAAGTTAAAATCGTGATCTAAAAGAGCTTCAGTAGGATGAAACGAAGTGTCACTATTTGTTGTGTTCCAACCGTAACTAACAGTATTTAAATTTCTTACTTCGTCTTCATCATCTAGAAGTTCAGTGGCTGTCTGAACTTGAATAGTTTCGATTGTCTCTTCAGTGATATGAGAAATTTCAGCACATTGGTTCGGTTCAAAATCTGCGTCATCATTATTTGTACTGCTCTCAGTGAGCGGGACTATAACTGGATTAAGAAGCTGAATAGGAGCAGTGACATTCTCAATCAACTGTGTAGTTAAATCATCTTTATCTTTATCATCAGTTACGTTTACTTCCCTACAGGTTTCACATATATTAAAATCTGAGATAGCCTCGCTGTCATTTGCCAATGGTTTGTTTTGATTAGCAGTATCGTCGGTTAAACTTTCACCGATATTAATATCAGATTGACTTTCTTTGACAGCTCCATAAAGAGAAACACTCTTAACTTCACTTCCAATATTAGAAATCGGACTTTCAGTAAATACATTGGGCAAACCAAATAACGGCATGGCTGTAGAATCAATACGAGGGACATCAATACTATCTTCTTGTTCTTTTTTCAATGTTTCTTTATAATCGTTTCCACTTTGGAAATAGGAGCTGCCAAAACCACTGCTATCAGCATCGCTTTGATTAGATTCAAATAAACTAAGGTTACTGTGCAAATACCCTGCATCTTCAGAATCCTGAGTAGGAAAATTGGTAAAAAAGCTAACCGGTTGCGAATTAGATTTAAAATCTGTTCCCGTTGAAATATTTGATATATTTGACAATATTTCGGTTCTAACATTATCTTTACTATGCTCCAGAGAAACTGCTGCCTCTTTTTCTCGTGCTAATTGAAGATTTTCCAATTTCTTGTTTAAATCGTCGGTTTGTATTGGTTGTGATAAATTGAATAATTGTTGGCTGACGACAAATGCGCCGGTATCTTTAGGTTCAGTTGAAACTAAATCAAATATATTCGATTCATTCTTGTGGGTGTGATCACTGCTTCCATAACCAAAGAATGATGTCATATCTGTTTTTATTTCATCTCCAATGGCAGGTTTAGACATTGGTTTGTCTACAGATGTTAAATTTGCTTCGATGCGTTTATCAGCTGAACTTGTAACTTTTTGAGTAGATATTCTCGACACAGTTTTGTCTAATGTTTGTGGTACTGTTGGAATGTTTGTTTCTACTTCAAATTTATGAATATTCATGGGAGTAATTTTATTGCTAGAAAATTCTCCTGCTGAAGCGTGTATATCTACCGAATGTGCCGGATCACACAAATTTAAAGGTGATCCGTAAGTATGCGATGCAAAAGTATTTTGATTGTATGCAGTAAATAAATCAGGAGTTGTGTAAGTTTGGACTTGATTCCCATAGTCATAAGACTGATTTTGATAGTATTGGTTTCCTTGTCCTCCATAATTATAAGGATGTTGGTAATTATACTGTCCGTAACTTTCATTGTAGGTTGGGTTAATCTGTTCTTCATTTGGTACAAAAACTTCCAAATTACTATCGTATGTTGAAAACCCTCGCGTATTTGTTTCTTCTTTTTTGATGTCATTATATGCAGGATCAAAGAATGTTGTTACAGTATTTTGTATCTTATTAATATCTAAAGAACTTAGTTTAGATTTCAAAGAACCGATAATTCCAAAGCCCTTTGATTCTTGCTTAGGAATTTCATAATTATCTGTAGTTTGTCTGCTCATATCAAAAGCAGTATTATGATCTGTTCCAATATAAGACGACATCTGAGGTGTACTAACGTCGAATTGAGAGAATGAGGGCGGAGTAATCGACTGTTGAGAAATTATTGCTGGGTTTACATTTAAAATCGGTTGTTGTTCTGTATTTTCCTTCGTGTCAGGCGTAAATAACGAACCTTTAAATGCACTTGACTCTAACGTTGGTATAGTAGGTTTAACATTGTTACTGATAGATCCAACACCCTCAATAGGACCGGAATAATATTGTGGTCTCTTTTTTTGCATTCTATAGTTAAGATTGCCAGATAGTTTAGGCGGCTCGGGAATAGATTTCGCCGCTACTGTAGTATTTTGATCGTAACTATGGCTTGGTTTATTGAATTGAGACATGATTTTGCTATCTATTGAGCTTTGTGTGGTAGCGCTTGGATTGAAAAATGCTGTGGGCAATGGCATTAATGCCACATTTGATTGATTAATCTTATCGGATGGAAGAGAGACCGAAGTTGAATCAAATGGTGGTATTGTCAATTTATCTGGAGTGAAAAACATTGGCGGTGGTGCTGTTGCTTCTGAATGCGGTATACTTGACGGAAATACGGGATTCGTTGCTGTTTGATTTTCCAAATTACATTCTAATGGAGTTTCTGGTTTAAACATTGACAGTGTAGCTGACGAAGGAGCAACAGTCGCAAGAGAAGAATGATTAGTAGACATTATTTCTGGCTTATCTTGTGAAATGCTTTCTGTTATTGCTGAAGGAGTATTAAATTGAGCGAAAGCTGAACCAGTAGAAGCAGGCGGAATACTATCATTGATTGGTTGCAAAGCAGTCTCCCTATAAAATGATGTGTTAGTTGTATCCGAAATAATTGTTTTCGGCACTTGATCTGATACAGCATTGGGAATGAATATGTCTTTTGATTGCAAATTTGTCGGTAACATTTGAGGCTTTATTATTGGATGGTGCGAACCTATGCGTCTAGCGACTGAAGGTGGCAGTACCGATTTTGCATTAGTCTGACTATCTTTCATCGGTACATTAGAAAACATAGGTGGTGGAGGGATTATTGGAATATTAGTCGCACCATGACTTTGTTGCCCTTGAATTTGTTCAACTGTTGTAAATAAATTAGATTGTTTCTCTTCATATATATTTGTTTCATCCACAACTTTAGGTTCTGCTTCAATTGTTGGATTGTATATGGTAAAATTTTTTACAGTGTCTTTTGCACTAACTATATGAGTATTATCAGGTACATCTGGTGGATTAAATAAATTATAATCTTGTGTGTAAGTAGGTGGTTTAACGTCTAAATTAGATTGTTCCGGAACCAAATTAGTCATAATATCAATTCTTTTGCTAACGCCACCGATATCTATTTGCGATTGTTGATTAACAAGATCTGTTTGTGTGTGTAATGGAAAATTCACTGTAGCAGGATTCATGGGCAAGTTATACGCAGGTGGTCCCATGTTTGTTGAACTGAGCCCTGGTATCTGAGCATATGCTTTCTTCTTGGTTGTGATCCGGTAGCTTGTAGTACCTGTAACAAATGATAATTCATGTTAATACAATCTTTGCTTGAAGTTATATTCCTGCTATGATGTGTCTTGAAAGTAGAGGTATTTTTAATAAATATTACATACACACATATTGTCTACAGTTTTCTAGCCCAGAATTAAACCTTTAAAAAATATTATATAAAATAAATTCATCGTCATCAGTTCATCAACGTCCCTCTGACGGCATACATGTCTTCCATAATGTATTGAGAAAAGGCCATAAACTATCCCACACACATAAATACAAACACTTGTCCACAAACATCTACACACACAACCTTCATGCATTATATTTTCGCTCCAAGTCAGCGAATTGTCATCTATGTCCAGGCTAACCGTCCAAACAGCCAAAATAAATATTTAAACGATTATGTAATATATCTTTTGTTTTTTCTCCTTTATGCGTTTTGTTTATAGATAGCACGGAACCTTTCGTGCGCGACTCGCACTCGAACTTGGTCGGATTTTAAGTATTTCTGACGGAAAAGCCGTCAAGTGTCTCACGGAAGTTTGCGTTAGTACTAGGGTTGCCAGATGGTCGGGATTCGTCTGGATTGTCCAGACATTTCGTATGATGTCCAGAGTCCTGAAAAAAAAATCAAATATGTCCCGACAAAAATTGTAAGATCAAATTCCAAGTTCATGTGGCAATATAAAAATATATAATTAGTAGGTATATTAGCCGTTTATATGTTTTATTATTATGTGATCTCATAATTTGCCAAAAAGTAGATACTTGCTTTTATTTTAAAATTTAATTAATAAAGAGTGGATTTTTGATTAGTAATGTTTTGTCCCGACTCCCGAAATTTTGCTTATAGTATGACCGTTTAAATGAGTCCTCGCCCGCGCGGTCAGGGGCGCGGGGTATGACGACAAAGGGGACCGAGAGAGGTGCGGGCGGCGGGCGCGCGCGGTAAACAAAAATGCGGCGCGCGCGGTAAAACAAAAATGCGCCCGCCGCCCGCACCTCTCGGTCCCCTTTGTCGTCATACCCCGCGCCCCTGTACCGCGCGGGCGAGGACTCATTTAAACGGTCATACTATAGATATTTTAGTCTCTCCATCTGGCAACCCTAGTTAGTACGCAACGTATTATCCGTCTAATGCGTAAGGTTGTCATATTATATTTATGTTAGTTCTGACGTTCCACAACGCATCTTCTGTCAGATACATACCGACTAAAGAGTATTATCCAAATCAAAAGCCGTGGGTTCATGATATCTTCAATAATGACATATCATCATCAGCCCTTTTACGTCCCCACTACAGGGACTTGGGCCATCCTTATGGATGGTCAAGAAAGCTACTCTGTGCTTCGTAGGGCACGTTAAGTCGTTGGTCCCGGCTGCATTTGTGTTAACACCCTGGATGGGTCACGACCCTCCACGCTGACCCAAATGCGATTGGAGGGTGCTTACGACTACAAATGCAGCCGGGACCAACGACTTAACGTGCCCTGCGAAGCACAGAGTAGCTCGAGATAATAATCACCACCCATCATGTGACCGACCCTTGTAAGAGTTGCTTAACAACAACGATCTCGGGCCACGGCGCTTATCCACTACGCCACCGAGCTACTCATAAAAAAATATATAAAAAGTCACCGCAAACTATAAAAAAGGATTTCTTTTCTTTTTTTTTATACTTTATAGGTTAACGCTTGACTACGATGGTAAGTGGTGATGAAGCCTTGGGTGGTATAGCGCATTAACCTAGTAACAGCCTATTCTTAATAGGTTTTAATAAGATCGTCGCTTTAATAAGACATATTGACAGACGTGCTCACTATTAACGCGAAAGCATGCTCCAAATAAGCACTTGTTCATTAATGACAAGTGGGTCGTAACATAGCTAGTATTGAGCGAGCTTATTTCGAGTATGCTCAAAAATCAACATCCATTTGATTTTTGAGCATGCTTCCTGAGGCGCGTTTAGAAGGGCTTGTGCTTTGAGCACGTCTGAACAGGTTTGCTTATGAGCATACTTATTTTCATTTAGCAATTTATTATAAAATAGCGTATACGAAAGATAAACAACAACTTGTTAATGAAGTCATAAGTCTTTATTAAACAAATCCGCCATTGTATATAGCACGAAAAAATTCTTGCGAAAATTTATTACAAGATATGAATGATCCATATTTATCTATAATTATATATATAAACCAAATCGAAACGTCTGTTTTAGCCAAGAACCTGCGTTCATAGCATGTGCGTTCTGATGTTTGCTTTGAGTATGCTTATTCATGGACATGCCTAAAATAAGCATACAGTGAAAGAGCATGTTCGTTTTGAGCATGCTTTTTAACCATAATAGCCACTAATCAGTCCTTAAAACTAGTCGACTCTTGAATTCTTGTACCGGGCAGCAATGCTAGTTGCTACTAGGTGTCCGCCTCGTTTTCTAGACCGGTGTGTATCACAAATTACTATCAATACTTGCCAGGCAGTCTAGCATATTTAGTTGACGGTCGACCGGTTCTAATATACATAATACGACTGTTATGTACTGAGGTATATGTATATTTTAGGGTTGAGCACCAAAATAGGAAAATTGGAACCCTAACTGGATCATGCGTGTGCCTGTATTAGCTGATTTTGCACGTGTAATCATACATATATATAGTAGACAGAGGTGTATATGTAATCTATACTAATATTCATCAGCCCTTTTACGTCTCCACTGCCCCTGCAGTGGAGACGTAAAAGGGCTGATAGAAGGCCATAAGGAAGGCCTGAGCCCCTGCTCAGGCCTTCCTTATGGATGGTTGAGGAGGATGGGCCATGACCCTCCACACTGGCCCAATGCGGATTGGAGGGTATTAACGACTGCAAATGCAGCCGGGACCGACGGCTTAACGTGCCTTCCGAAGCACGGAGTAGCTCGAGATAATATTTTTTTGGTCACCCATCCCGTGACCGACCCTTGCGAATGTTGCTTAACGACTAACGACGATCACGGGCCGCGGCGCTAATCCACTACGCCATCGAGCTACTCTAATATTGCAAAGAGGAAAACTTTGTTTGTTTTTTTTGTAATGAATAGGCTCAAAAACTAATGGACCGATTTTAGAAATTCTTTCACCATTCGAAAGCTACATTATCCACGAGTAACATAGGCTATATTTTATTTTGGAAAAAATAGGGTTCCGTAAGATATTTGGGTTTAAAAAATCAACTTACTTATTTTGCGTACGCTGCCTAAACTATAAAAGATAGAACCATAAAATGTTCTAATTAATTGTAGATCCCTGACACACTTATACCTATCTATGTCGAGTGAGGCACAACAACCATTTTTTTATTTAAAAATCTTGATTTTTTTTTACTACATTTTATACGCGTTTATTTTACTCATGCTATTAATCCTTATAAAAATAAATGGTCTTTGAATGATTAAAATTGGACGTTTGCTTTTGAAGTGATGGTGAAATTAATATATTACGATATCTGCCGCGCGGCCCGTTGCGAAGTGGACGTCACCATGGCGGGGGTGCGCGTGCGGGAGGGGAGTTTAGATCTATGAGTAAGGTACTAGCGGGCCACGCGGGCGAAGCCGCTGGCGGAAAGCTAGTTTATATTAATATTATAAAGATCAAAGATATTATTGTATGTTTGCAACGAATAGGTTCCGAAACTAGTGAATCTATTTTAAAAATTCTCTCACCTACGGGAAGCTACATCTCATGCGGTAGACATAGGCTTTTTTTTTATGGGATATTGGGCAGACGAGCAGACGGATCACCTGATGGCAAGTGATTACCGTCGCCCATGGACACCTGCAACACCAGAGGGGCTACAAGCGCGCTGCCGGCCTTGGAGGGAAGGGTTGAGGGGTAGAGGGAAGGGAATATGGAGGGGTTGGTCCTCCGGTACCCTCACTCACACGACGAAACACAACGCAAGCGTTGCTTCACGTCGGTTTTCTGTGAGGCCGTGGTATCACTCCGGTCGAGCCGGCCCATTCATGCCGAAGCGTGGCTCTCCCACGGACTAAAAAGCTATATTTTATCCCGAAAAACAGCAAATAAAGGAATGAAAACGGGAGTGAAGTTTGTACAAGGAATTAAAACGTCGCAATAGTATACTATTCAATCTGTCATTGTAATTATATCCGTGTCATAATATGAAACCTTATCCAAATAAATTGTTATTTTCTAAAACTGGATTAACATATTACTAAGCAGTTCCTAAGGACCAAGCGCACGAAGTCGCTGGCGGAAAGCTAGTATAAATTTTTTATTGTAAGGAGAGCCGTGGCAGAGGTGTCGTCGGGTAACCAGGAAAGCGTCATAGGGACTCGGTGCGGGACGGACGTGTGCGCGTGCGCTAGCTTCGGTGTTATTAAAGAAATTTATCGCGATTCGGTGTTTTTCTTCAAAATAGTTTCACTTCTGATAGGAACCCTTCTTACCTTAAAATATATCATAGGCATAAGGTAACAATTTTAATGATTGCGCCTGATACAATATGAAATCACACAACTCGATTTTAAAAGCAATTCCACTGGGGGACATTCTGTCTATTGGGAGTGCATTCCGTAGGAGAATGGTTAAAACAAAAAAAAGGAAGAGTCGGTCTGACGAGCAGGACAAACAAATAAACTATTGGACGAAGATGGAAATGTCTTTTGTATCACTTGGACATAGTCAAAGTCAAAATAATCTTCATTCAAATAGACTTCTTAGAAGTACTTTTGAATCGTCCAACATTTTTTCCTCTACCACTCTTTCAGGACGTCTTTTGGCTGATAGGAAGAACGAGCAAGAAACTCACCAGCTCTAATGGGAGTGACATGACATTTACAAAAACCATGTCATTACCAGATCAATGCCAGATCATAAATATTGAAGGTGAAGAGTGAGATTTGCGTGAGAAGTTGTGCTTCAAGCTCACATGGAGGCTTCTCGGCTAACACACACGCGGTCTCGTGTGAGAACGTGTTGAAAATATACGCAAATGCCTAGCGCAAGGCGTCGCATAAAGAATTATAAATTGAGACATTGCTTAATTTCGCTAGGTGATTCCTAGTCAATGGTAAAATGCATTTTTACCTTAGGCGAGTCCTAAGTTAAGTGAAAACGGACATAAGTGTACAACTGCGAGACACTGAAAACATCATAAATCGAAATAAATCGGTGGCGGCGGCCATTAAACATGTTTAGGA